TGCGCGTCTGCATAGGCATAGGAGGCCACGGGGGGGGGGGGGGGCAACATTCAAGCGCGCAAGCCGATGCTGGGGCGACCTCTTTGAGCCCGCATCCGAAGGTCACTCTCTCAAAGGGTCACTCTTGCGTGCAGCCGAGGCTCATGCAGCTGAGTTTCTCAGAGCCCCCGGGCGCTGGAGGGGGCCATGCATCGAAGAATGCGTCCGGCGGCAGGGCCGAAATCAGCTGCATGCAATGGTTTTCGTGACGCCCCCTTTCCCAATACCTCCTCTTTCGTCCGACCCGAACCTCCCACTTGGTCGTCCCGTCGTCCGTGCTCTTGATGGTCCCCGTCTTGCCATTCGCGAGAAGGTGGCGCAAATGCCCCTCGTGCTTCGGGTCCGCGTACGCGCCCGAGATGTCCTCGCCGCGCACCCTGTGGGCCGTGCGGGCCTTCTTCTTGTCCTTCCTCTGGAGGAGGCTGAGCCTCCTGATCTTGTTGACGTTGTCCTCGAGCTCGAGCCCGGCGACGGTGCCGAAGAGGGCCACAGTGATCAGCAGCCGCATCGGTGCCATCGGAGCGCGCTTGAAAGGTGGTAGTATGGAGCTGCGCACTGGGTGCGCCTGCAAGCGCTATGGACAGGGTGACAAGCTCATGGGCCGAAGTGGCCAAGAAGAGGGGAGGCACGAGGGAGAGGAATGGAGAAGGGAGGGGAGAGAAGACGGGGACGGAAGGGAGCGGGGAGGAGGGAGGAGGGGAACAAACATAGAGTGGGAATGCCCCAACCACTGTCACCCTTGAAAGTGATCCGCAATCCTTGCCCACGGGTACGCAATATCGTAATGTAACCCCCTGTCCTCTGGTTGGCCAGACGCCCTCCAAGACGACGCAAGCAACTCACAAGATCTCTGCATGACCTTCTGGACGGCCCGAAGATTCCCATGGACAACGGGGGCGGGCCGGGCGGACGGGCGACGGTGGCACGGTGGGACTGGCGCGCGCGCGCGAGGGTGTCGCCCGCGCACGAATGAAACGAGCTGCGAGCAAAACCATCAGCGGGCGAGACGACGTGGACAGGGCGAAACGAAGCTCGGGCGACATGAGCCCATACCACAAGGACTTGGACGAGATCTCTCGGAGCCCTTGCGAGTCTCTGGCGGCGTCTCCGCTGCGCTCCAATCGCCCCCTACTCTTCGCAACTCATTGCCTCCCTTTGAGACCTGGGAGGCAATTAATGACGCGCTGCGAGGCGGCCCAGATCCGCGTCTGCGCAGCGGAGCAATGAATCCGTTTGCGAGGTTACAACGATGCCGACCTCGGAGCGTTTCTTACCGCATTCACGAAAGCAAAGAACGTGCAAATACTCACGATCTCAGGCGGCTGCTTTCCGCGACTTCCAGGCTGACGGAATCACTGAAGATTGCGAGCAGAGCGAGCAGTGTGGACCTGGTGGGCTGGTCAACGCCAGAGGATGGCCACAAGACCTGGCCGATCAGTCAGAAGATCGAGGAGCGGCGCACGCGATATCCTCGCAGGCAAGGAGTCCTTCCGCCGTCCTGCCCTAACTTAAATGTGCACTGCACTTTAAAAAGACCACGCGCTTAAACGACGACGCGCTTGTGGCCGAACATCCGCAACTGGAGGAGCAAAACACTCCGATGCATCAGGTGACGATCGCCGGGGGGGGTATCAGGGTGGGCAGAAGGGAGCGGCGGGAATGATGCGACAAGAAGAGGGGCCAACGCAATGATAGCGACGGGAGGAGGCACGATGCAGCGGACAGAACGGGGGCACGGGGAGAGGGCGCGCAAGACGGCAAACCTTGCAAGCATGCCTGAGCTGGATCGAACGGAGTAAACCGATCGGATTTGAAACAGATCGGATCGCCAGCTAACTGTGTTCAGAATCGAGTCCAGAACGATTCGCGATGCCTGTCTCTGGCCGACGCCGGCGAATCGAATCGAATCGTCGGCGGCCCGGGCACATCCCTGCCACGACGGCGTGGGATCTGGCCAGGCACGGTGGCGCACAGGTGCCTTCGGCGGAGAAGGTGGGCGTTCTCCTGGAGCCCGCTTGGGCCGTCTTGGAGGCCTCTTGGGCAGTCTTGGGGCCACGTGGGGCCATCTTGGGGCCCCCCTTGGAGCGTCTGAAGGCCTTCTTGGGCAATCTTGAGACCGCCTTGGAGGCCTTTGGGCCGTCTTTGGGCGAGCTTGGCTGCAGTGTTTTTCGACTATGTTCGTAGTGTTGTTTTTGGTGTTGGCTTTGCCTGCGGACGGGCTCTGGGAGGCTGCGCGCTGGCAAGCAGGCGCCCGCGGACCCCGCGGAGGAGCGGCCCGATAAAACGCAGCCCGCCTAAACCGGCGGGGGGGGCACGCCGCCTGCCAGTGGAGCGCAGCGTCGGGGGCACCCGCGGCCGGGGAGCGCCAGGTCCAACCGGACGCTGCCCCACCACGGTCGCTGCAAACAGTGGAGGCCTCCCGTAGATCGGGGCGGAGTAGGTGGGGTCGGAGGATCGCGCCGCATCGCCGACGTCGGCGTGGAGAAAAGCGGGCTCCGCATCGACGATGCATCGCCAGTACATTGGCGATGCGGCGCGATCCTCCAACCCCATCTACTCCGACCCCATCTAGGAGGCCTTGAAACAGGTCGTCGAATTATGCCTCAGCCACGGACGCGCAGACATCGGACGGCTCCAGCTCGGGTGCGGCCGAACGGGCCCCCAGCAAACCATCCCCTCCCGTGACTGCATCCTCGCCTTTGAAGCTCCCCTCCGGCATACACGCGTCTTGGGGCGAGGCGAGGGGGACGTCATGGAAGGAGACGGTGTACTAGGGGTCGGTCAGGCCGCCCCCGACCAACAGAAACCGATGCGGTTGCGAGGCGGGGATTTGTCCAGAACTTTGGACGCCTGGCAAGGCTAGCAGAAAACTAGGCAGTTGCGATGCCCAACACCACATGCTGTCCAAACACCGACAATGGCCGCTGTGAGGGAGGCGGCCTTCTGTCTCTAACGAACAACGTCCGCGGCGACACCGACAGCGAGTCTTGGTCGAAATGAACAAGGACATCTGTCGGTCTTTGGATCCTTTTTTTACACACCTATTTCGATCGTCCCGAATAACCACTGCCAGGGGGATCGATCTCAGGTGTCCCCGACAGGCGGTGGGTATGGATATGGAGATGCATCTATATATATATATACATATATATATATATATATGCTCTGAAAACTCCCGCTTGCCAACGCAGATGATTTTCCAGAGAGGTAGCAGGCTGCCAAGGGTGGACGACACTGGTGCTTGCTGCGAACGGAACTTATAATAGAGCGCGCTCGCTCCCCAGCTTTGACGACATATATAATGAAAGAAAGGAAACTAGGAGGAGGGGTGGGAGGCGGTGCACTTGAGCCCGATGTCCATGGATGCACATCGGTTTATCGAGGCGGCTGCGCTACAACTTAGAGCACTAACGTTTGAAAAACTGGACCCTGCTCTGAAAACTCCCGCTTGCCAACGCAGATGATTTTCCAGAGAGGTAGCGGGCTGCCAAGGGTGGACGACACTGGTGCTTGCTGCGAACGGAACTTATAATAGAGCGCGCTCGCTCCCATCTTCCCGAATCTATTCTGGCCAAGCCGCATGAGCTTGCTCACAAAGTCAGAGACGCGAGATGATTGAGCTGGATTCGGTCGGCAGCCTGCACAAGCAGAGAAGCGGCACCCCGGGCGAAGGAGTCAGGGTACTCTTCGGCCCGGGCGGTAAGGTTCCTGGGGTCCCCGGGTCCGCGGCCCTGGAGGGCCACATGAGGCCGGAGCGTGCGACTGCACATCCCTAGGACCCCAGAACACCGTTTACACAGTGCTTTAGGCGGAGCCCCTACATTCCACCCCACGACTTTAGTGGGCTTCTTCCAGGCGCGATTATGTTGGCACGTGTGTGTGACAAACTCTTTACAATTGTCTAGGCGCGTGAGATCTAAAAGGGCGGGACACTGCCAGAGGAGACTAGACTGGGGGTTCTCCATGGCCACTGGGATCCCTGCCTTCAAGCACGCACAAATCACACATACGGAAAAGAGAGCTGTTGCATTGCCGAACTGTACTTTGACTGCGTTTTTGTCAGAGAGGTCGGGCCGACCATATATATATGCTGAAGCGTGCGGAATGTGTTTCGGCTGGCAACGCTCCACGTTGAACACGGGGGGGCGAGCCACACGGCCCGCACGACACGACTCCCGATCCAACCTCGAACTACTTTAAGAGCTGCGTCGGATGACAGATCAAAAGCAGGGTCAGCCTTGACATCGAGACGGAGGGCCGGCAATCCGCTCAACCTCTCCAGCCATTTTCCGACACGGCCTGTCCCAGCAAAAAGATCCAGAAAAGTCTGTGCCCTCCGAGGCTGGCGGCCTAGCGCCTGGTCTAGCGCGGCCCTGAGCCTGCGTCTGACCGACGCGGCCGACAGCTGGAGGGCAGAGGCAAGAGTGTCTCCTGAGCGCCAGAGCTGGCCGGCGGCCAACGCCGCGGCCTTTTTGCCCCTGGAGGCGCGGCCACGGCCTTGCGCTTGTTGATCAGCGCCTCGAAGTTGGCATCCACGTAGTCTCCGTACTGCTTCGTGTCGGCCGCCAGCTGGTCTAACTCGCGGAGATACCTCGTGTGCTTTTTGTGCCGTCGTGTTGACGACTCTTGAGCGTGCCTCAGCCTCTCCTGGATGGTCTTCATGTCCCGACTCTGGTGGAGAGCGTCGGCGCTGGCGGCTCCGTGGCGCACCTGGTAGGGGTTCAAGTCCGGGAGGCCAGCCAACTGCGCCACCTTGCGGAACAGCACTCGGAATTGCGCGGCTGAGAAGGACCACAACGGCTGACTCGGTCCGGCACGACGTACCAGCGCCTGCAGCAGCGGCCCCATCGCCGTCACCCTGTCGCTGTCCAGCAGGCAGCCCTCGTCCCACTGGCCGGTCTTGCTCCTGGGCTGCTTCTCCTCGTGGTACAGGAGCAGCGCCCAGTGAGACACCCCCGTGGACCGCTGGGGCGGGATGAGCGAAGAGCCGGTCATGGAGATCAAGTCGCTGGGGAGCCGAAGGTAGGCGCACCACGCCACCTCCAAGGCCATCGCCAGCTCCTGCATCCCCAAGAACAGCGCAGCGCCCACCAGAGCCGCCAGCCCTGGCCGCGGCAGGGGCGCCCGCGACTGGCCGGGGGCCCGCTTGCGGAAGCCTCTCAAGGCCGCGCGGGCCCTGGGCAGCGCCTCCACGGACTGGTACACCCCGTGCACGTCGTATTACTTGACGGCTGCTATCAACTTTTCTCCTTGATCGTGATTGTAGCCCTCGAAGAAGAGCGAGTCCATGTGGGCGGACAGGGCCTGGTCCATCTCCTCCGGCGTCTCCAACTTGAGGTCCTGCTCCTCGGCCCACCTCTCGAACTCGCTCAGGATGACCCGGTAGTAGGCCACCGTCTGCGGCTGTGCCCGCGATGCCTGCATATAGCCCAGGCCCGCGGCCGCCGCCTCCTGAGCTGCCTCTCTCTGCGTCTGCCTCAGCGTCGCACGTCGGCTCCTCCTCGCCTGAGCTGCTTGAAGAGCTGCTCCACGCCGCCTCGGCAGCTCCACTTGGTGGCGACTCGGCTGGCTCGACCCGCCGACCGAAGGCCGCAGCAGGCTCGTCCAGCCAGGTGTCCCCGAGGCCGCAGAGGCCGGCCGCCTCTGCCCCGCCTGGCTGGCGGAGGAGGTGGTTGTCGATCTCCCCCTCGAGCGCCAGGTCGAGGCGGGCGGCGGCCGCGTGAGCATCAAGGTGCCATGCCGATCGTGGATCTGACCGAGGGTCCCGCGGCTCGGGCCGAGATGGCCACGCTCTCGACGGTCGGTCTGCTGGGTTTATCTCTGACGCTATCCATCTGAAACAACAGTGAACGTTGGCAAACAAACTGAGTGCAAGAACCTCTTGACACGTACGATTGACTGTTGAAGTAGATCCCCGGCCCTTGCTGAGGGCCAACACCATGGACATGTTATCACAAAGGAACAAGTGACGAGCTCCCTGGGACGCCCGGGAACGTAGACGATGCCGAAGCCCCAGTACAACCCCTCGCCCCTCAGTACGCAGGATGTTCTCATGACGAAGCCAACGACCTTTTGCGCAGAGGCGCCAGCTGCTGTCGTCGCCCATCTGGCTGGGCGTGATATGTTCGAAAGTGACTCCTGCCTGGCGAGACATTGGACGCTTTGGTCCCTGCTCCTGCGGCAGGCCGAGCGTCTGGGCGCGAGCAGCGATGGCATCTGAGACACACCACCGCCACTTCTCGGCCTGGCCTGCCGCGGCCCTCACGCTCTCCAGGTCCCAGTCCGTCTCCATCGCGCCGTGCCCGCCGAAGTCGTGGCGGCTGGCCCCCGAAGCGTCGGACGCGGTCGCGACCGTGCTGTAGGGCCGCTTGGCGTCCACGAACGCGAAGCACACCAAGGCCGCGGCACGCCGCAGCTCGGCCTCCACGCAGGGCCAGAGCCTCCACCTCCTGGAGCCTGCCAGGGCGATGTACCTGTACGTCTGCGCGAACACACTCAGCAATTCACGCCGCAGGATCGCTGCCCAGCACCAATGGCCAAGGAGATGCCGAAGCTCGTCTCCCGAGGCCCACCCGCGGGAGGCCGTGTGCAGGAGGGCCAGCCTCAACTTCCACGTCCGTGACCGAGAAAGCCGTATCTTGCCAGAGGCCACCTCGAAGCTCAGGCCCGTGAAGGTGGTGTCCGAGCCAGCCGCCTCCACGCCCTTGCACTTCAGACCCAGCGCCTCCAGCTTCGCGGCGACCCGCTCGCAGTCGGAGGTCACCAGGTTAGCCTCCAGCCCCACCACAGCAACTCCGTCCACGTAGACGGCCACACGGCTGCGGTCCGTCACCGAAGGGGCTGCACGGCGATCCTGGATGAAATCGGAGAGGGCGAAGCCAGCAGCCTGAACACCAGCCATCACCATGCATTGGCAAAAGTAGAGACTCCATGTCCACCCCATGGGAAGCACCTCTAGGCAAGGTGACGCCCACGCCTCGATCCCTGGCGGCAGCTGGTCTGACAGGTCAGGCCTCAGCTTCAGCAGGGTGGGAAGGTGGACAGCTCTCAAAACGAACATCTCCTGCGCCCCCCGCGGCAAGCCGATCCTGTAGAACGCGTTGTCCACGTCGGCCTGGGCGAGGTGCAACTCCTGGTCCATGGGGGCCTCCAACGCTGACCAAGCCCCCGCTGTCGGGAGCACTGTGTGCGCTGGAGCTTCAAACAAGTCATTGACACGCCGAGGGTCAATAATTAAACGCTGCATACCATTCGATTTGTGCACAAAGAAGGCGCCCACCGTCTCCTCCCGCTGCTGCGTCAGGGAGACCACGCCGGCATCCAACAGGTCGCCGACGAACTGGGCGTAGGTAGATCGGGAACGAAACTTGCCGTCGTAGTGGGGCTTGGGCGCCTGGCTGCCGCCCTCGGGCTGTCGCTTCAACAGCTGCCTCCATCCTACCCATTGCTGCAAAGCTTCTCCCTCCAGGATGCGGCTCCCATCAGCGAGGCCGCCCCCCTTCGGCAGAGAGACCAGGGACCGGTCGTGGGACGCAATGTGCTCCGGCTCGAAGACGTAGCCGTGCCCAGGTCCGCACAGCTCTCGGTGGGCTGCCGCGGCGGTGCAAGCTGGCGGTGGCCCGGCGTCCTCCACCACGCGCCTGACATGCTCCAGCCCGCACTCCTGCGCGAGCGAAGACTTGCCGTCGGCGGGCAGCGACCCGTGACCATACAGCTCATTAATTGAAACCAGAACTTCCTGCATCCAGGCGTGGAGGTGCTCCTTCTTGCGGAGGCGGCTCCTCGCAGCTCGGCTGCAGGCGCCCACAGGGGGCGAGGGCGGCGGGCCCGCGGGGATGGCCACTGGAAGCAGCTCCCGCGGGACCGCCATGGGAGCGCCGTAGGCTACTTGGCCCCCCGGCCGCCACCGCGGCCGCGTCCCCCGCCGGCGCCTCCGTCGCCAGCAGGTGCAGTCTCACCGACCTTGTCCATCAGCCTGCGGATCTCGGCGGCCTGGGCGTTCACCTTCTGCTGCAGCCCCTGGGCCGCGGCGGATGAGCTCCCACCTGCGCCCCCTCCGCCGGGGGCGCGGCTAGCCTGCCTCTCCTCCTTCAACTTCCTGCGCTCCTTCATCACGGCGGCCTCTTTGTGGAGCTGCTCGGTGATGTGATCCGAGAGGTCTGGGCTCACCATCACCAGGCCGCGCGTGAGGCCGGTCCCCATGTACAAGAACTCATCCTCCGCGAACTCGTCTCCACCGTGCTTCCCCAGGATCTTGTCGCGATACCGCATCTCCGCGAGCTGCGCCCTCCTCAAGAGCAGCTCGAAACTCGCTAGCTCTGTGAATGTTGAGCTGGTCATACACCACGGCGAGCTCTATCATTCTCATCGCCAGCTCATGGTCCTGACAACCGATGTCCTGACCACCCACCCCCGCTTCATGTCTCCATTTCGTGTGTCGCGCGCGGGGGTGGGTGTCCTGCTCAGCGATGAAGTCGAGACACCACCGGGCGGTCCTGGGGCCGAGGATCGGCCACGCCGGCCAGCTTGTCTCAGTCATCTCTCTCACACTATCCTTGAATGGGCGCCGTCGCTCACCACTCGGGCTCTGGATGATGCTGAGCACGCGGGCGTCCGAGTCCAAGTCATCATCGACACCTGAGCTCCTCCGCAGCAGCAGCACCTCTGAGCCCTTCACGGCGAGCGCGCCCACGTCACAGACAGCGAACTCGTCAACGTTCAGGTTGCCCAGCAGAGTCTTGCGCGGGGTGCCGCCCGTGCTCCAGACGACCTGCCAGCCGTCGGGGGTCGGGGGCGGCAGCGCCCGCGATCCGACCTCAATCAGATTCGCCACCGCTCCACCCCCAGCTGCCACTACTGCAAGCCGGGGCTCCAGCCACTGGTCGCCGATGCACAGCTTGATCATCTTGGCGAACTCCAGCGGCGTGGCGCTCCAGTCCGAGCCATACACGCGCGTGCGGTTGGTGAACCGTGTGCCGAGGAGCGTCGCCCGATCGGGCCGGCCCTCGTCGTCGCACAGGATCAACCCGCTGAGCGGGCCCACGTCCAGGCAGTGAGGGTAGGCGTCGCCGTCCGGGGTCCCGCACCACCATATCTTCCCTGCTGCTATCTGTTCGGGAGTCGCTTGAACTTCCATGATGGCCTGCAGATCGGCGGCGGTGGCGGGAGCGATGGCGACGCGGGCCTGCCAGTCCTGCCCATCCCCCCACTGCACGAGCAGCCTCCTGCCGGCCTCCACGGCCATGGGGACACCCACAGCACAAGGCGCTCGCCAGGAGGAACCCGAGGATGAACGAGGTGCTCGCCAGGCCCCGCGTGCCACCGAAGAGATCCAGCACTGCTACGCACTCGCCCGTACTCGCGACCACGGGCGCCAACACACTTCTGATCGTCTGCGAGGCTGTCCAGCCTCTGGAGAGAATGTTCCAGGAATTGGAAAGAAGGGCAAGCTGCATGCGGACTGGCCGCAAATTAATGCACTTGAGCCCGATGTCCATGGATGCACATCAGTTTATCGAGGCGGCTGCGCTACAACTTAGAGCACTAACGTTTGAAAAACTGGACCCTATATATATATATATATATATAATATATATATATATATATATATATATCATATATATTATATATATATATATATATATATACTTGCATATATCTATATATACATATAGACACAGATTTGCCGCCCCCCCCACAGGGCCCGAGTATATACATATCCACCGTCTGCCGAAGCCCCCAGAAGATCGATTCCCGAGGCGGTGGTTCTGGATGAGCCCCCGCCTCGGAACGGTCGCTTTCCTACAGTTTCGGGCCTCGCGGAGGCCCGCTTCTGGCCCCTGAACTCCGCGGAACAGAATCGGCGGGAAAGCCGAGCCGGCCCCAGGGACGGCTCGAGAGGGTCCGGCGCTGACATTTCAAACAAGAGCCGCGACAACCGCTGGGGCCGCCAGGTGCCTGGGCTTGGGCACGGACGCGCAGGCCTCTGAAACGGGGGGTGGGGCCTGCGCTTGGAACAGGTCGCTGGGGCGGCTAGCAACCTCATCTCGCCATCGCTAGGACGTCTGTTCCGTGCATTTTTGCGGTTTCGTGCGTGCATTTTATCGCAAGGTGAACAACAAATGCTCCTCGATAGTCCTTGCCGAAGAAAATCGCACACGTCCAAGCGATGCATTCAGGGTCTGGGCGGCGGTGGCGCCAAGCTGGCCGCGCGCGCGCGCCCGCGGCGCGCGCCAACTCCTGGCTCTCCTCACCGGAGCTCAGCCTCTTGGCACGGGGGAGACGGGTCCGGAGGGAAACGGGTCCTGGACCAGACCAGCTCTTCATCCCGAGCCGTTTTGTGACAGCCCTTGGGCCCGTGGAAGGCACAGGAAACCCGAGAAGCAACGCTAAGCTAAAGGGACGTAACTGGGGGATCCGCGGGGCGGATGCCAGGGGAACCGCCCGGGGCGATTTCCACTGCCCGGCCCCTTTAAGCAAAGAGAGTAAGAACCCTTCTAGGCAGAGCCTAGGTAGGGAACAAATAACAAACAACAACAACAGCAACAGCAACAACAACAACCACAACAGCAGCAACAGCAGCAGCAGCAACAGCAACAGCAACAACAACAACCACAACAACAACAACAACAGCAGCAACAGCAGCAACAGCAACAGCAACAGCATCAACAAACCAGAAACAGCACCACACTATGGGCACGTTTCCCTCAGGACGCATTTCCTTCATGGCGAGCCTCACGTGCGGCCTTCCTCGCGAGCCGCGTCGGGACGGCGTGCGCGCCCGCTAGCTGGACGCACGGCGTGCCGTCCACGTCGATCACGTCGACCTTGCGCGGCCAGGCCCGCAAGAACGCGACGAGCCCCGCCTCCCCGGAGTCCTCCAGGGGGAAGGGCACCTTTGAAGGGAAATGATAAGGGGGGACTGGCGATAGGCCCTCGATAGCGAAGCCTCACGATCCAGGCCGGGGTGCGTGTTGGCCCCCATCGGCGATGCATGATGGGCGTTTGGGGGCCAATGCTTCCCACCCTGAGCCTATGCCCCCTTATGGTTGCCCCTGAACCTTCCACAGAGCCTCGAACTCCGCCCGCAAGCTCGCCACCGGCACCTGGGGAAGCAAGACGATGCTTCTACCGCTGTTCCTCGGACGCCTCCCGTGTTGCGTTCTGAAGAGGACTTCGGGGAGAACCCGGCCGCGGCGGCGAGGGAACGGCAGCGGCATCGGCACCTCTCATGGGCGGCGATGGGGGCGAAGAGCCCAGGAGGCAGCAATACATGTCTCCAAGGGCGCCGATGGTCCGTGCTTTCGGCGAGGCTCTCGGGCGAATGCGTGTCATGCCCGCCCCTGGGCCATTCGCCATTTGCCGTCGCCCCCGAACCTCTCGGCACACCCACCACGCCACCCCAACCCAACCCGAGTTGCCTTTTGGCTTGCGAAGTTCCAGTGGTTGGATTTTGTTGGGGTGGGTGGGAGCGCGCCCCGCCGCGAGCTTTCCTGGCACGGATCTCAGGGGCCGCCGGGCCGCGTCAGATCGCCCTGCCACGTGCCACATGGGCACGGTCACTGCCACTGCTCGTCCTCCTCGCACACGTTGGACCCATTGAAATGCAAATGACGTCGGGCTCCACCTTCGCCTCCCGCACCTCGCTCAGCGACCCCATGGCTCGCTCACTAACGTCTTCTGGTAGGTCAAGGAAAGACTTCATCGGAGAGCGTGGCGGGTGCTCCCGGAGCGCTCAACTAATGAAGGAGAGGCGCACCCATAGCCTGCCTCATATGTTTCGTAGAGGCGCCAGGCTTCACTTCACCAACTCATTCTGGGTGATGGATGGCGCCGCTCTCATCTACGCGGGACTTGACGACATCGGTGAAGAAGGTGAGGCCGCCCACAGTGCAAACGCCCGCTGCATCCTGCATATTGCCAGGGGATCTCTCACGGATCCACTGCTGCGAGATAGCGAACTCGGCTGTGGTAGCTGCGCAACCACAGCGCATATGGTTAATACCAGAAAGGTGCTTCTTGCCGCTGCGGCGCTTGACGTGAACTCCCGTGGGACGAACAAGATGGCGAGCCCGCCCGACACACAGGGCTGGCTCATTTACGTTTTCAGCGATCGAAAGTACAGCAGTGATGACGCTGGGCTCCAGCTTTGTTTCCCGCATCTCGCTCAACAGCGCTGAGACACACCGCTACTGCTGGCCCGTCCCGCGCGGTTTGATCACGGTGCTGTGACTGATGATGCCCAACTCCGACTTCGCCTCCCGCATCTCGCTCAGCAACGCCAACGCCTTGTTGCAACTGCTTGCACTTCCCGCGCGCGCTCATCCCAGCGCCATAGCTGATGAGGCTTGGCTCCAACTTCGCCTCCCGCATCTCGCTCAGCAGCGCCACAGCCCGCTGCCACTGCTCACCCTTCCCGCACGCGCCGATCCCAGCACTGTAGCTGACTAGTGCTGACCCGTGGACTCCGTCCACGACATCTTTCTGGAATGGTTCTCGGAGGAACGGCGCAGATTGTACCGAAAATCTACAAACACGGCGGCAGCTCGGGCGGCGGCAGCGAGACCGCGCCTTCGTGTCTGAGCTCTTGCAGCGCTCCAGCAGCTTGGCCCAGCGCACTGCTCGTTCACCCCCCTCCTATTGAGGACAGTTTCGAAGTCTCTCGGGGATGTGCGTCGAAGTCGAAGCCCATCTGAGGCGTCTCAGGAGCGCTCGGGGGAGGGCTCGGGAGGCCATCGGGGAAAGCCACCGAAAGCGCCGGGGAGGCTCGCAAGGATCTACAAGGAGGGCCCAAGAGAACTTCAAGAAAATTTGAAATTCTGTATAATCTTTAGAGAAACCGCTGTTGGGTCGGCCATCACCTCCGGGCGCGCTTTGATGGTGCGATACAGTCGCATCACCGCCAACGGGAGGGTTTGTTCGCCATGTCCCATTCTGTTCGCCCAGAGGGCCTGTGGAGGCCTTCGGGCGAACAGAACGGGAGAGGGTAAGGAAAGGGGAAGACCCGTCCGAATCTCCTGGGCCCCCCAGGTGCTCGTCCGAAGAATGCGGAAAGGTCCCAGGGTCATATCAATTGGCTGCTGTCCCACGGGTCCGGTCTGCTTGGCCCGAAGAGTTTGCCAAGGCCCCTGGGGGAACATAATGGCACAGCATATTGGGCGAAGGGGGGCGGTAGCTGGCCTGTCAGACCCGGCGTTCGTCTGCTGCCCAAGCGGCGCGGGGCCCACGGGCCCCAGGGTTGGCGGCCCGCTGGGTTTCCTCTTGTTCGCCCACAGGGTTGGAGGAGGCCTCCAGGCGAACAGAATGGCGCAGGACAATGAATGTGGGAGACTTGTCGCAAGCTCCCAGCCCCCCCAAGTGTGCGCCCGAAGGGTGTGAGGCCGCGGTGGCTCCCTCAAAGGGCCGTCTTGGAGCCGTCCAGGCCCGTCTTGAGGGCGCCGTTTGCCGTGATGGGGCCGTCTTGGTTCGTCGTGGGCCCCTCTTGGGCGCGTCCGTAGGCCGTCCTGGGCCCATCAGGGTCCTCGTGGGGCTGTCTTGGAGCCGTCTGGGACCGTGAGGGGGCCGCCTGGGAGTCGTCTTGGGCCCCTCCTGTGCGCCTCCTTGGGCCGTCCTGGGCCCAGCAGGGGCCGTGTTGGCACCCTCTTGGGGCTGTCTTGGAGCCGTCTTGAGCCGTCGCAGCGCGCCTTGGGTTGTGCTGGGTCCGTCTTGGCCCGTCTTGGGGCCTTCCTGGGCGTTTCCTCGGACCCTCCTGGGACTTTCTGGGGCCTCTTGGTGCATCGGACCGCCGAAACGGCGGGAAACGTAAAGGGTGTAACAGTAAACAATGGAAAATTAACGATTTTTGCCAGCTGGGTCTCTCTTGCCATCTTGGCCCGTCTTGAAGCCCCGACCGGGCGTGCCCTTGGGCCGTCCTGGGCGCACCCTCCTGGGACCGTCTTGGAATCGTCTTCGGCCGTCTTGAGCGCGCCTTGGGCCGTCCTGGGCCCGTCTGGGGCCGTGTTGGCACCCTCGCGGCGAGGAAGCTCGGAGGCGGGCTCGAGGCCTCTTTGGGGCCATTTTGGAAGCTGTTGGGGCCTCTGTTGGGGCCTCGTTTGGGCTCCTTGGGAGCCTCCTGGGGCCTCTTCGGGGGATTCTTGGCGGCTCCTTGGGGCCTCTTGGGGGCCTATTTGGGCCTCCTGGCGCCCTCTTGGGGCGGAAGGCTTGGATTTTCGGTCCGTGGTCCCCCTCTTGGCCCCCTCTTGGGCCTGTCTTCGGGCCAACGTGGGCCGTCTTGGGCGTCTCTTGGGTCGTCTTGGGGCCCTCTTGGGCTGTCTTGGGGCGCTCTTGGAAACCTCTTGGGCCGTTCTGGGGCGCTCTTGGAGGCCTCTTGGGCCGTCTTTGAGCGTAGGAAAGCGAAAAAGGCGAGAAGGCCAAAATCCTTCCAAAACCGTCGTGAAGCGGATGATTCTGAGGCCCAAAACCGTCCAAAACCTCCTGAGGCGGTCCCCTCGTCCGCCCCCCTCGCTTCGAAGCAGTTTTTAAGCCCCGTGGCACCTCTTGGGGACCTCTTTTGGGCTCCTGGGGGCCTCTTGGGCCTCTCTGGGCTCGTCTATCGCGCCTTTTGGGCTGTCTTGGGGCTCCCTAGGGCCTTCTTGGGCGGTCCTCGGGCCGTCTTGGAGCCATCTTGGGCCGCTCTTCGGGCCATCTTAGGGTCCCGTTGGCCTGTCTTGGGCGCCTCTGGGGCCGTCCTGGGGCCGCCTTGGACCATCTTGGGGCCCTCTTGGACCGTCTTGGGGTCCTCTTGGGGACCTCTTCCACCGTCTTGGAGCGGTCTTGGATGCCTCTGGGGGGGTTTCGAAGCGTCGGGAAGCCGAAAAAGCGAGGAAGCAAACAATCTAGGAAAAAACACATGAAAATCAACGATTTTGGCCTCTCGGGGCTCTCTTGGGAGGCCTCTTGGGAGGCCTATTGGGCCGTCTTGGGGAGCTCTTGGGCCGTCTTGGGCCAATCTTGGGCGTCTTGGCCGGATCATTGCGCGTCTCGGGCCCTCTTGGGCCGCCTTCGGGGCATCTTGAGCGGCTCGGAGCCGTCTTTGGGCCGTCGGGGTGGCCTCCGGAGCGTCTCGGAGCCGTTTATTGAGCGGCTCGGAGCCGTCTTTGGGCCGTCGGGGCGGCCTCCGGAGCGTCTCGGAGCCGTTTCTAGTCCGCCGACCCCTTGTGGGTCTCTAGGCATGTGAGATAGTTCCCCCCCCCATACCCCCCCCCCGGGACCCCAAACCGGAGATTTGACCCCCCCCCCGGCCCGGCCCGAGCGCACCACGAGGCTTCTCCGGACCCAAGAGGGCGTCAAGACGGGGCAAGAAGGTCCCAAGAGGCCTCCAAGACGGCTCACGAGGGCCCCGGGGCGCCACGCATGTGCTCCAGGACGCCCAAGATGGCCCCGAGATTGGCCAAGAGGCCTCCAAGACGGCCCAAGAGGTCCCAAACAAGCCTTCCAAGAGGGCCTCAAGAGGCTAAAATTGTTGATTTTCCATTGTGTTTTTCTGTGTTTTTTGCCTTTTTGTCTCTCCGGCTTCCCGACGCTCCAACACGGCCCCAGAGGCCCTGAAGACAGCCACAAGACGGCACAAGAGACCCCCAAGACGGCCCCAAGACGGCCCCAGATGACCCCATGACGGCCCCGGAGGCCCCCAAGACGGCCCAAGAGGGTTCCAAAACTGCACCCAGAGAAGCCCAAGAGGGCGACCAAACATTAAAAAAAAACTAGCTTTCCGCCCCAAGGATCCCCAGGCGGCCCCAAGTGTGCCCCCAGAGGCCGCCAGAGGCCCCCAAGACTTTCCCCAGACGCCCCAAAGAACTTCCAAAAAAAAACCCAGAGGCTCCGAAACGGCCCCCAAGTGGTTTCAAAACTACATTCCAGAGGCCCCCGGGAGCTGTGCCGCGAGATCCCGATACACCTACAAGATGCCTCTAACCCATAACCCAGGATTCAGAGCCTTCTCTCTGTGTCCCCCTCGCCCCCCCCCCTCCACCTCGGCCCCCAGGTGCCTTCAGCATTGCCTTCCAGAGGCCCCCGAGAACCGTGCCGCGATACCCCGATACACAAACAAGAAGCCTCTAACATATAA